TATGTCCACAAGACAACGCAAATGAGCTCCTTCTCAGAAAGTTGTCTCGCCTTGTGGACTGAGACCGTGGACCCGAGACGACACCAGATACCCGAATGTCTGTCTTGTATGTAATCGAGACGAGCGACACACGTTCATTCTCAGAACGCCGTCTTGTCTGCGCACGGCAGACGAGACGCAAAGTTGCCACGGACACACATTCAAAGTACAGTGACAGCTCGGGCGGCGACGTTCTCTCACCCAGAACATGCAGGACAGGCAGACCCAGGTCCGAGCGGGAGCGGCCAAAACGGCCGGCAAGCCGAGGGAGACGGACGGCATGGTGACGGAGGGCTCGGGATGCTGCGGCCGCGCTCACGGGGCTTCGGGGCGTCCGACCCCGGCGTGCCTAGCCGTGACCATGCGCAGGGCGGATGCGCAAGGGGCAGAGCCGCTTGGGAACGTCAGGATGCTTTCGCTTGGTCCCCCTTCAACGATAGTGTGGCTCTGTCCTCTTAATTGGATCCCGGCTGCCTCTCTTCTCTCTCTCTCGCTCTGTCTCGTCACTCTGCCGGGGCAAAGTTTCACAAAGCTTTCGGGGAACGAGGAGGGGGGGGGGACTGGCCGGGGAGGGGGTCGGCCAGCTCCAACTCCTCGGCATGGAGCAGAGGGGGTGGGCCGTCGTCTTATTATCCATCGCTCCTGCCCCTCCCTCTTCCTCGCTCAGGCTACCTCGGCCCCCTTCCCGACCCCTCTGGGCCGCGCTTCTTTGAATGTCATTCATTCCTTGATCCCTTCGCCCCTCCTGCCTGCCGTACCACTCAGCATCCGTTGCCCTTCACCTCCCCCATCGTTTGCAGTGCAATCGCTTTGCCGTAATATTGACTGATTTAATGCCTCTTCGTAATTCAGGACATCCAGAGTAAACCGCTCAATGTACTGAGGGAAATTCAATTGATTGGACGGAATCTGGCGAGGCACTTGCCTGTTTAGACATGATCGCAGACTTGACAGCGGATATCAAAGCAAGCCATTGAGTCAAAGGAATGGAGATTGCATCAGGGTGCAGATCCCGAGCAGGGCATCCAAAAAAAAAAAAAAAAAAACAGAGGGCACTCATCATATTCAAATGAGACAAGCACTGAGAATTTTTCCCCGGAGCTGGTCGTCAAAGCAAAATGAGTGATCGGGAGAGAATAGCTTTGGTCACGTCAGGGTGTTGACCAAAGCCCAGACTTGAACATCTCCTGAGGGACGTGCACATTCACCAAGGGTTGGACTGACCAGCGGACGTGTCGACTTTTCCCACCGCGCAATGACGGGATCATTTACGGCCACAGTTCTGTGACGTGAATTGTCGTGAGAGTTTTACACGTTGCGGAGCTTGAGAAAATCTTTTCAACGGAGAAAAGTCAGTGACTCCACCTTAGAATATGACTGTCCGCCACTAATATTTTGCTCACAGGGATACCTTGAGTGGATTCGCCCCCTGTTGGACATGGGAATGTACTGTAGGTATGAGTCCTCACGGTGTAGCACGTACACCTTCAGCCCCCACCCCACAAAGTCCGGACAAATTTTTCGGTAACAGTCTCTCACAGGGGTGAACATCGACGCTCACTGTTTACATTATCAAACGGACTTGCCAGTAACCTCCTTCGATATACGCACACTTCTTCACATCTTTCTCACATACCCTAAATAGACAAATCCACCAATGTGCAGAAACACACACACACACACACACACACACACTCATGCAGCAAGCAGAGAGGATTAACCCCATTGGTATTTCCCGCAGACCACCCTTCGAGAAGCACAGTCACTAAGGGAGACACAGGCCACTTCACCCCAACTGCCCGATCATGTGAATGACTCCGTGTGTTTCTGATTCACACTGAAAAGCGAGCTAAACATTTCCGATGTGCTCTTACGTGACGCTATTTACTTCTGAGGTCAAAAATACATTGAACTCAGACACGAGCAATTTAAAATTGGTTCCCAGGTGCCTTCATCGGCCAGTTTTGGGGGGGGGGGGTCTGACCCGTGCAAGTGAGCCACAGCTCGAGCAGCACCCCTTCATTGCGGGACCAACGTATTGTTACCCCAGGGCTCGAAATAAGCCGTTTCATATCGCCACGTAAAACTCATCAACGCAACTCAACCCAACAAGGAATTCGTAACGAAGACAAGAAAAAGCAAAGTCTCAGGCTGAGTCAAATGCCAAAGATGAAAAATGAGTTGCATGCACCTTTGCTGGCACAACCAATGACTCTGCAAAGAGTCCGGAGGTTCTCGTCATTGACTCAAAGGTTGTCAACCGCTGAATTACAACAACAAGACGATCTGCAACGAGCATCTATTTTTCTGAAAGTCAAACCTCGAGCCTTGAAAATTGAACCATCTCGACTTGTGAATGTACCTGGTTCCGGCTTTTCCTGCGTTTCCAAAAAGGGAAGACGCTACAGAAGAGCAATCTTGCCCAAGTGAAGATTGTGGTGAGACACCAGTGGAGTCTGCCCATCCTTTCGGGAAAGCTTTCTCCTGCCGCCCGCTACCGTGTTGCCTGCGACTCTTGCCTCGCCTTCGTCTCTCTCGCCGTTTTCACCCGTCTCCTTGAAAAGCATTCACCAGGGAAGTCACAGAGACAAACCCGGAGCGGCGCTTGATCCAATCAGAGATGGCAGACGCGTGTCCGCTTTGCTTTCAGTTGCGGACGGAGACTCCTGACGAGTGGCGTTACATCCTTTGCTCTTTAGTCTCGCATCGGAGCCATCCATCCATCCATCCGTCCGTCCGTCCGTCGGTCCATCCGTCCGTCCACTTTGCGGGACGCTGCAAGTCTTCCGTTTGCAGCGGGAGAAAAAAGGAGAGAAAGACAGACGACAAAAGTGGGAGGCGGAGGGGCCAGTCGTCTTATCAGGGAGGAACTTAGCGTGATGAAAAAGGGAGGGAGGCTTTTCAGGTTAATGTCTCCTGTTGACACAAGACAGATGCGTCCTCCTCCTCCGCACTAAGATCGACTCGAATGACCAGATGAGGCAATTTCCCCAGTTCAGCGCCCACTCGATGACAGGTGAGTGAATGGCGACCAGTCCCGAGCGCAGTCTGCCAGAAGAGGCTCAGGTGCCGTGAATGAATATTTGCCATCAAAAGTCAGCGGTGGTTGTTTTCAAGCTCTCCGTAAGGACACAGTTGAAGCCGAGTTGACTTGAGTTGAGGAATAACACACAGGGAGGCGCCGTTGGTTGATAATACCAATTTTTCCGAGCCAAAAGATGACTTGCGGACCCCAGTTTGACAACGCCACCTCCCAGCCAGGAAACGACCGGCTGACTTTGGGCAATGGGCGGGCGAGAGCGAAAAAGGAAACCAGCATTCACAGGTCTCACCTCTGAGGCCTGCTTCTGCGCGCTCAGGGAGAACATGCAAACTTGGCACCGATTCGATTGCCGTGACCTCTCGCCGGCGAGGCGGGCGCGCAAACCACGAGCAGAGTGCGCTGCCGACCGACCGAACCGTCTTGTTGTTGAGCCTCGCGGAGCAGAACGTCTGCCTGGGCCTCTTGTTCCCTGGAAATCAATCAGCAAATTGGCTCCTCTTGCTCTTCCGGCTGCGGTCACAGCTGGTGATGCGGGCATTCCGGCTCGAGGGGTGGGCGGGGGGGTTGTCGAGGTGGCCCGCACGCTGATAAAATTCTGCTGGGCTTTCATTTTTGTTTCCCGTGGACCCCTTCGAGGCTGAAGCAGGCACTTTTCAGCAAGGCCTTTTTGTCTTTGGCTTTCAATCATTTGAATGCAAAGCTGTTGCCACATCGGAGGCGATTTTCAATCACATTCCCGCTGTCCTATTACATCACGGCCAAGTGGCTCTGATTAATGCTTCAAGTTGGCTGCGGCCCCTCCTGCTATTGATCCATTTAAACCCCCCTTCGGAGTGAGTGCGTGGCAGAAAGCCACAAGGGATTAAATCAAAGCTCATTTCATTAGCGAGCGCTGCGAAGAAGCAGCGGCGGTTCCATCTTGAGTCAGCAGATAGGAGCCTTTTTTTGTCCCGCGTCCATTTTGCAAGACAAAATGAAATGTGAGTGGAAAAATGAAACGGCCAGAGTCCAACAAAGCCGGGATGCCGATTTGATGCATGAAAGGTAACAACGCACACATAGCAGAATCTGAGAGCAAGCTGTGCTAAATGAAGGTGGCCGTGCACGACAAAGTTGGGACGACCCGATGGGATCCCATCGCGTGATCGCAGTTCGGCTCCAATCACGTGGCTTTCGGCTGATCGGGGATCGGGGCAAAAAGACCCGCTTTCTTCCTTTTCTGAAATTGCATCGGTCAAACAGTCCAAAGGTATAAATACGTCGCCAAATGGTGCAGTCATAATTGTACTACACAATGTTCCATTGTGTTTATTTTGTGGTGATTTAGAGCAGCTTTGTGTGAAATTCTTCTTCATTTGTGCCTGCATGACTGTATTACACTGCCCCCTATTGCCCAAGTTGCGCACACCGGGAAGAACCACAATGAATTACGTAATTCCAGGACGGTGCACAAAGCGGTTCGGTCTCTGTGGTTCTATTTCATGACGTTACGAGCGCGAGTGTTTCGAAAGAACAATATTTTCGAGAATTAGTTTGACAAAGCATTTTTGAGGGAAGGTGGATTGGAACCACGGCATTTCCGTGAAATCCATTCATATGACATTTAAATGGAAATAAAAACAATGGGGAGAAATAGTCAAAGTATCCTCCCCCCCACAGCTCAAATAAGAAAAAGGCAAAACCACCTTCCTTTATGTGGTACGTTTTTTTTTTTTTTTGTTGGTATAAAGAAGCCATGTTGAGCCACGACACAACAAGAGCATTAAAATGCCTTCAATAAAGTCAACTCAAGTCCATGAAAGGAAAGTCCACCAACAGAGCGCAATCTGACAGGTGGACCTTGTGATCGGAAGCAAAACGCTGGCCACCCACAGGTTAAAAAAAAAAAAACAAAACAAAAAAGGTCACCGGCACTCACCAACAAGAGGGACATTGCCGTCGTCTCGGAACACACAGCTGAAGTTGTATTTCCCCTTCTTCTTGGACACATCCAAAGCGTTCTTTCACTGTACGAGCCTTTCCCACTTCGATCTTCTTCTCTCTGTGAAAAAAAAAAGAGAGCCCTGTTGTCCAGCCCTTATCCTGACATACTTCCTGAGCAGCATTGTTAGCCAGAGGAGAGGAAACACACACACACACACACACACACACACGAACTATGGAAAGCCTGTGTCAGGAGAACAGAACATGGAAAGCAAAAATGTTGTCTTTTGGGGTTTTTTTTCTTTTTTTTTTGGGAGGGGGCGGGGGGGGTTCTTGATCTTTTGGCCTTGCTGCTTTGGACACAAGGACTCCAGAAGCATGGGCGAGCAGAGAGCTTATTTTGATGCAGCGTATAGTTCGTTCAATAACGGTAAAGACTTACCCGACACTTTAAAAATGGTAATGTATTTGCGTTATTGGCCATTGTTATCATTCCAAAGGTTTCCACCCCGCTAAAAGGTTCACAACGACAGTTTCTCACGCTTTTCTCATTGAAATGTGTTGTTTTCTGAAGGGGATTTTTCCAGTGCAGTATTTGTCCAATTCCACCTATTTTGGACCCACTCAAAGCATCCTAACCTCAGTCCACATCCTTTCATTTCATCCAATCCGTGCCGTAATCATTCCACACAGAACGATACGATTCCATTCCGGCGTTTCGGCATCCGCATGCAATTTCTCCCCACTCGTGACAACGTCGAGGACCTCAATTGAACAAATGTTGTTTCACGTGCAATAACGTTCCAAGAAATAGCCATATTAACGCCCTGACAGAAAATATGTGACTGTGCATATGGTGAACTCGTAGTAGCGTGCGTGCCTGCGCGTGTTGTCAACACTAGCTGTGAAGTGCCACAGACTTCATTCTCCACAGAGCCCACCAAAGCCTCCTTTTCACGACATCAAAGTGCTTGTTGTGTGCTTAGCGTTTAACATGTGTGTGTGGGGTTCAGTGGGATTGCTATCATTGGTTGTGAGTGCTAAGCCTTGACGGAGGCCTGCGTGATGCCCGTTGCCGCCGGGAGTGCTCTGAAATGTCTGCGCTCTGCCGCTGGCGCTGCATAAGGCTGCAAAACAACGCAAGGCCCGTCTGACACTGAGCTCACATTGTTAGAATAAGAAGACAGCCTGCCCCCTGCTGGACTCGTTTATCAATCAGCGTAGCGTAAAGAGGTTTGCATTTGCCTGCGGTCCTAAGTTTGCAAGCGCAGACGGAGACTAGACTGCTTTTTCAAACTCATCCAACCGGTTCATTTTGAGCTTGACCAGCTTGCACTGCTCGGGCTTGCGCTGAAGCCTCTCCATAAACAACCCAGGCATCACTTCACTTGGCTCCTCCCCCCACATACCAACAAGATGTTGGTCTCTCGGTGGAGACGAATCACTTCAACAAGCAAAAACGGGGCGACCAAAAACTCGGAATGAGGTAGGAGGGAGAGGCGACCGCCAGTCCTAGGCGGAGACGGCTCTTTTGCAGACGGCCGTGCGGCCGCTCTGATTGACGGCTGAAGCTGGCAAGGCAATCGGCCGGGAAATAATCCCCATTTCAGTCACCACAGTGTTGGGTTACTCAAACCTTTTAACACAATTCAACCGGGAAGTGCAGTTGAGAACCGCATTTAAAAATGCGGGCCACTCTTGGTACTGTAAAATCGCCACGCTTGGAATAAAGCACGACTGGAGGATCAAAGCTGGATTTGAAAAGGTTTGACCAGCAGCTGGTGCAAAACCATGCTGGTGATTTTGGCCAGCTGTGCGGAAGACGGATTGGATTGTCTTCCGAGCCGGGTGTTTGGCTTTTGCTTTTGCGCCGCCCTCCCACATATCCGAATACCACAACAACAACACACAGCGGCCCGACTCGTAGTCGCGGATCTCAAACTGGGGTCCCCGGCTCATCACAGGTTCACGAGCCGTAGCTATGGGGTCAATGAACAACATTTTCACATTTTCTCTGGAACACATACAACTTTATTCTTGTAAGATTAAGAATTGATTCTTGAAAAATACAACTTGCACATTTTGGGGGAGTCTTGGAGATATCCAATATTTTATCGACTATTTATCTTGAAAATGTATGCCATTTTCAAGATATAAGACTTTTTATCTTTAAAAATTATATCGGGTATATAGGTTTTTTTTTCATTCATTCATTTTAAAAATGTAAAACGGGTCATTGTGATTTGCAACATAATGAACCAAAGACAATCCCATTTCTAAATAAATCAACCCTGAGTCAAAGCGCAATGTCCTGCGAAGGTTTCCAGGGTGGGAAACGACAGAGGTGGCGTTTGCTCAAGCGTCACGCGCCTCTCCCAGACCGAGAACACGCCGGACACCGTCGCAAAGAAGGAGACGAGACAGAGAGGCTCTTGTTCTGCCCAAGGTCCGCGCCGGCCCACTGGCAGAGCGGCAGGTAGGAGTCAAATGATAGGCCGTCCTCATGCGCTCAGCACACAGGACGCACTGTTTGGCCCAAGTGCCAAAGCGTCCACTGGGATGCGTGATGCCACCGCAAGAAACTCACGTTTCAACACACACACGCGCACACACACAAAAAAAAAAAAAAAAAAAAATACACCAGCGGTGCCCATTTGCGGCGCGCCATCCATTTTTCAGCGGCATGACCAAAAAAAAAAAAAAGAAGCTAAAAATGAAACAACCTTCCTTACACCCCACCCACCCGCACACAAAAAAAAAAAAAAAAAAAAAAAAAACAGGGCATTTCCACAAAGGCTTCCATCAAGCTTTGGTTTTTAGACTCTGCACTTGTACTTTATAAAAGCATACAGAAATAAGCACATTTCAATCGAATGCAAAGAAAGGGGCAGTTTGTGTTTCATTTATGTCCAGCTCCAGGACTGAAGGGCCACCGTCCTGCCTGTTTTCCAGCTCTCCCGGCTGCAACACACCCGAGTCGGACAATCAGCTCATCAGCCAGCTCTGAAGCAGCACTGGAAGCATCGTGATGACTTGAATGTGGTGTGTTGCTCCTGGGAGAGCTGGAAAACAGGCGGGAGAGCGGCCCGCCAGGACCAACTTTGGACGCCCCTGGTGTAACCATTCCTGCCAAAAATATTTGCTCAGTTCAATTTTTACAAGAGAAGAGTATTTTTTTTTTTTTTAATGAAGACACATTTGTCCTCATTTAAAACTGGTCACTTGGGCCCATAACATATCTTCGAAAGGTTCTAAGATGAGCAGGTTTCCGAATGACTCACCTTGAGGAGGCTGCAGTCTTTTCTCTTCTTCCTCATCTTGTCCTCTTCCTCTTCCTCCTCCTGGTCGTCATCATGCTGCTCAACCGGCATGGGTAGGAAGTCTTCTTCACAGCGCATGAAGCTCAGTGTGCATCCCATCCGGGCAGAAAAGCCACCGATCCCATTGACGGACTCTCAGCGTTGACCCGTGAGCTCCTCCGTGGCTACACAGCAAGCACAATTTGCACAAGAAGCCGAAGAAGGGAAAACTGCAAACTTTGCGTGCCGCTCTCTCGCTCGCTCTCCTTTTGGAGTTGTTGCTGTTGCCCTCTGCTGGTGACTTTTAAGGGGGTCCTTGAAATTTGGGGTCTGGCGAAAAGTGGCGTATTACACATTTTTATTTTATACAGGTGGTCCCTTGAGAGACGAGTGACCCGATTTATGATTTGTTGCCTCAAATTTAAGATGTGAGTGTTGTATGGCGGGAGTGAACTCAAAAAGCAACCCTTCGGCAAATAGCCAACATTTCTTCTTCTTCGAAAAGCTGTCAACGGCACTCCTTGTTTACGTTTAACTGCCAAACAAACAAAACTACACGTCGCGTGTTTTAAACAACAGCTCTGTCTCACAGTCTGTTTAGCTTCATGCTACCATACATGGAAAAATTCGCGAAGGTTAGCATCAAGAGGAATGTGGTTTTCCTTTAAGTAACAGATATTTGACACACAGTTTAAATGTTTCATACAATAACGACAGGTCTTGGGAAAAGACTCATTTACATAAATCTTGTGTCACTCAAGGAAGTCAAAGCAGAAATTCTTCTTCGTTTGTTCCTTCGCGACCGAATTATGCTGGACTGCCTCCACACGGCCAAGGTGGGCGCAGCGCATTGAATTGGATTGCGACGATCGTGATGCATTAAATCGATTTAGTACTCGATGCTTTTGTCATATTTCTATTTATTAGTGTTTCACCATGTCACCATGCATTCAAAAATAAATAACAATTCAAATGACTTTTCATAAAGTAGGATTACACTCAAAAAAACGCCAGTTATTTCCCCGCAAGAAACAAATGAATGCAACTATAAACCTGTTTAAAGTCATCCTGCGAACACACTTGGGTCAATTTATTGACACCACTCCAAAACTCAAATGTGGATTCACTCATGGAGACTCCAGAACTGTTTTTAGCCTCTCCAGTCTCTTTCTTGTGTAACTGTGTGAACAAATGTGACACAACCAACCTGCACTGCTTTTTTTTTTTTTTTTTTAATTTCAAGCTCCCTTTTACCACATTACAAATAAATCTCTTATTTAAAAAAAATCTTATCAATGCAAAACAACAGCTTGTCTAACAAACATTAAAAAAAACTGTAGAGCACAAAAAACATTCCTCGGAGTGGTCACATCAACCCAGTTTGTGTTGTTTAATCCAAATTAAGATACAGTAACGGCGTCAATGGCCTCGTGCTTTATTTCGCAAAGGGTCTTGATCTGGAAGCATGTTAGAGTTCGCCCCTGCTATGACGCTTCTGGCCTTGTAACGACAGCTTGTACCTTGTGAGAAAAAAAAAAAAAGAAAAAATAGACACCTAAATAGATTTAGAAAGAGTCCTTTACAAATAATGTATTGTTTGATCTAATGTGGAAGCCGAAACTGTCAGCCAGGTAAGAGTTTTTCTCTTCACAAAAAAAAAATAAAAAAAGACCACTGTTGTGTTTGAACCCCTTACCATGCAAACATTTTTTGATTTTCAGGAATTGTGAGGCCCCAAAAACGGCGATTCCAAATCCTATGAAAAGTAGAGCCACTAAATTCACAAAAAGTTTCCCATACCAGTCTTTGACACCTTTGACAAGATCCAGCTGGCCAAGACTGATCAGCACCTGTGGGCAGAACACATACGAAACACGTCCTTTCTGCACCATTATCGACTCAAAGCAAACAACATTTGTATTTGGCAAGACACGTATGAAGTGGTGCATCCGCGAGTGAAAATGCTTTCGTCGTCTTTCCGGAGGCTCACTTCCCCCCCGCCCCAACTTGCCCGGTCGTAACCCCCTAACTCCAACCTGGATTGTTGTGGTGTTATGGTGAAAGATGAAGCTGTCCACACGAGAAGACCCTCTCCAAACAGGCTAGTTTCAGCTTTAAAACGAACGTCACGTCACGTGTGTGTGTGGTGACGACCGCTTTGGGATACTTATGAGGATGCGTACGCAAGCCGCTATTTGGGATTGACAATTATGAAACGCGGTATTGAATGCCTGCGCATCCTGCCTACCATTCCAATGTCCTTCCTTTCGCGCATGTGGAACATCTTGTTGTTTTTCACCGCCACATCCAACGTGCGCGTTAGGGCCTCCGCCAGGGACACGTCAAACTCAAACCTGATGTCATTTGGGAAGAGACACACGTAACACAGTGCCCACAATAGAGAAAGTGCTATTGGTCCGTATTAAGCAAAGCGCGAGCGAGTACTTCTCATCAAAGACGGGATTGACGGTCCGCTTCTTGACGTGAGTTCGCTTGCGGTGTCTCCACGTCTGGTCCGGAAGCAAATACAGCCGCACGTACGAGTCGGTTCCGTTTTCGCTACAGGCGAAGATGTCCCTGTGATGAGAGCGCAGCATGTGAGCGGGCGCGGCAACCGTTCCGCACTCATTTGCTCATCCTGTTCTTTTCGCTGACAAAATATGTCCAAGTGGGGAGTGGGTTTTCCTTTGAGTGCGCGTGTGTGTGTGAGACAATACCTGCAGCCGTTGACCGTAATAACCAGTTTGTTCCTCAGGGTGGCGTAGCGCGCAGACAGGCAAATCTCCCCCAAGGTTCCTCGATGTTTGCGGAGGACCCTACGGAACATCACAAACGGTCAAGCCGGAGGAGAGAAACACAAAACATTAGTGTGGGAATTTTGCTGTTGAAAATGTGGAATGCATCAGAATAAATAAAACAAATATTTGAAGATTGGAAAAAGGACATGGGGGGGGGGAGTGGGGGTATGGGTCAATATGACCCATTTTGAATTGGTTTGTTGGTGCAGGTCAATGTGACCCACTGTTAGTTTCTTCCTTTGGTATACAAGAAATATCCAAGGGTCAACTTGACCCGTTTTTAATCCTCTTTCTTTGGTGCGAGTCATTTCATTTCTCTGGTAGGGGTCACTGTGACCTGCCGTTAGTTTTGTCACTCAGTGGGTCATTGTGACCCACTTTTAGTTTCTTTGGTTTGGATTGATCAAAGTGAGGCCCTCTGACTTTATTTCTTTGGTATAACCAGAAATGTTGGTGGGTCAGTGTGACCTGCTGTTTGTTTTTGATTTTGGCATAGGTCAACGTAACCCACTATTAGTGTTTTTTTCCTCTGGTGCAGCCGAAATGTCCCCGAAACTCACTCTGGATAGGAGGCCCCATCTGCCAGATCGAAGCGCGACGCCGCCAGAGCGTTCTCTGACAAGAGGCTGTGCGAGTCGTAGCGCCGCATGCTCACAGTTGCCGGGGAGGGCCTCAAGGCCTCCGTAGCCAAATAGGAACCCCGCCGGTGGGTGGGGTAGTCGTCCGGCCCGCCTGCGGATGAAGCCTGACTGCTGGAAGGAAACGCGGGTGTGGAGGACGCGCTCGCGTTGCTCTGCGCCATTTGTTGGTTCACAATGACGGGTTTGGGTGCCGGCTGCTCCACAGTGAGAACCTGTTGGGGTTAAACAAGAGTCTTTTCAAGATCCACAGATGTCTTGAATTCAATGGGGACACATTGCAAAAAATCGATTCTTTTCTGGAGAGAAAAACGTGAACGTTTTGATGGTAGTCGGTTCTTTCCAAATTGGATTTGCAAGCCTGAATCGGGGATTTGGCTTTGAGGTTAGGGTCGAGCCTACGAAGGGTTTTAGACTACGGTTAGGGTTCCAGATTGGTTTCTGTGGTTGATTAGAAATATTCATGAGCCCATTAGACCCACAGTTCATTTCTTTGGTACACCAGAAAGGTTTAAGGTCAATGTGAGCCACTGTTTTTTTTTTGTGTTGTTGTTTTCTGTGTGATTCAATGTATCCCAGCCGGAATGAATGTGTTTTCTACAACACGGGCCAATATGACCCGCTATTAGTTTGCTTCTGTAATATAGGTCAACGTGGCCTGCTGTTAATTGGCTTCCGGAAATGTTCATGGGTCAACGTGACCCACCTAAGTTAGTCCCTGTGGTCGAAAGCGGCGGTCACACTGTGCCGTTCCACCCACCCTGAGCGTGGCCTTCAGTTTGATTTGGCTGTTGGCTCCTGACTGCTCCAGCAGGAAGCGCTGGTCCAGCATCATGTTGGAGACGTTGATGAAGCGGCTCAGGGGCAAGCGCAGAATGCCCAGTTGCGTCTTCTTCTCGTTCTCTTTGATCTGCCGACACAAATCCCAAACGGTCAGCTGCCCCCTCAACGCTTTGGAACGGGTTCATAACGGGCGCTTTCGACGGCGCCTCTCCAACCTGGACGATGAGCTGCTGCGTTTTGATGTCATGCACAAAGAAAGTGAAGCCCTCTTCCCAAACGGGGTCTTTGGTGGAAAACGCAACCTGAGGACACATGATTAAGAAGAGAAGCGGACGAATTTCATGACATTTGTTGCCATCACGTTCGGTTTGATGGGAACGTTTTGAGTTGAAGTGTGGAGTCAAGTTAGCGATATTAACTTAGCCTTGCACGTGCACTCGGCCATCTGATTCCAACTCTTTTGTTCCCGTGAATACTTTGGCAAAAATTAAAACCCTCCATCCTTCCTTCCACGACCTGAAATCGGGGTCGGCGGGTGGGGTACACCCCGAAAAATCTATTTCAAATGAAATTTGAAGATCTTGTCCCGTACCTTGCTTTTCTGAACCGCGTCGTCGATGGACAACTCCACAAAGGAGCTCGGACCTGCAGACTTCCTGGTGAGCTGGGAAAATCAAGCCGATCCGTCAGCAGGTATGCAAAATAATCATCAAATTAATTTAAAAACATTACTACATCTAACAATTGTACTTTTGTCAAAGTGTCCCTCAGATAGCTTGCACACTAGATTATCATGATTGCTAGATGCTGAAATATACATTGACAGAAAATGTCATTGACTATTTTGACCCCCCACGTTCATAATAACTTGGATCACAGCGTCAACATTTCCAATTGTGTGCTTTTAACTGTACCTAGAGTGAATGTCCAGCAGGCGGCAGTCGCAACAAAGAGGTCCCTGAGGCACTGAGATTCACCAGGCTACGGTAATGTCAAATGATAATTGTGCCTCTTCTGCCTTTTGTGTATAAACAAATAAGCGCATAACACACGCGCTGCAAATGGCTAGCAACGTGTTTTCGGTTGAAACGTCCAGCAAAACTCCAAAGACTGAGGAGGAAGTGGAAGCCCCAGTAAACATGATCGGTATGCAGTTGAAAAACAGGAATTACCGGCTACTGCGACGGAAGAACACGGCAGATGAAATATTGCAACGACTATGCACACTCAACACTTACCCGACCTTCTCTCCCGTGCTTCTTTTTATGGTGATGCTCGATCTCACTTAAGTCTTTCTGCAAGTATACATTCACACCGTTGTTCAGGAAATAAAAAGAATCACTTGGGGACCAATTCGATGAACTTGGATGAATCCCCGCAGCACGTTTGAGGTTTGGCAATCTTTCTCTCTCTCATGTAAATGCCGCGCTGCAGGTGACTTACGGGAAGGTTGGAGGCGTTGTCCAGATACACAGCGAGCATG